CCCGCCACCAGGATTAGAAGATTGTTTAGGTGACCCGTCATTCATCTATTCATTCTGGCCAGCATGTGTGCTTTTGACAAATTGTTAGATGAGGCTCACTCATCAAGAGCGAGTTCAATTTGTGACCGAAAGCTTATCCCAAATTCATCTTTTGCCTTTGTTTGTTACCTTTTGAAGCTCCAAATGAGATAGATTCTGTTGGAATTTTGAGTTGAAAATACAAACAAAGAATTGGATAAAGAATTAGCTCATCGAGATATTAAATCTTATTAGGTTGTTGTGGTTTTTTGAATATGTAGTTAGTTTTGTAAGTTGTATATGGCTGGCGTAGGAATATTTGTGGTTTTCTGTTTTAGCTCAATGATAGCAGTGTTGATGGTGGTGAAATCATCAAAGTAATCCTCATGTACTTTCTAGTTTTAAATTGAATAGGTGCCTTTTGTGTTCATCTTAGTTACATTCATGTTTAGTTTCATGTTGATGGTTGTAAAATCATGATGGGAAACTTGCTATTGTTGCTAAACTGGGATTATGATGATTTACAAGAACGAAAAGTCACTTCAATATACATGAATACATAATCTGATGATGAACTATGCTGATACACACTTCACTTCAATAACAAAATCTCATTCTAAGTGCATCTGATGAAGTTCAAAATTAAACCAAATTAATTTCCAATTCACACCATTCAACTGTTATACAACATAGAAATTAATCACAAAATTACATTAGTGCATCTTTGTTTGCTATCTTCAAAGCCCAAAATATACTCATGAAAAAAAATGATAAAACTACCGAGTTGCTGAAATTTTTCTTGGAGTTACAAATGGAATTGACCCTCGAACAATCCTTTTGTTTTTTGCTATGGCAGTCCTCTTTCTTTCCTTCTCTTGGTTATCTATCATTTGCAAGTCATCCACTGAGGATTCTAGTTGAGATTTCCCTGTTGCCGAACTGACTAGCTCATTAAGTGCAGGACCATAATTTGTAAATTATGCTCTAATAGTTATACCAATTCCAGAAGTTGGCATGAATTGAAAAATAGATGCTGGTTTTGGTGGTTGCACTTCAAATGCAGGCATCCTCAATTGTCTCCTAGGCATGAGTTTTGATTACAAAAATTATTTCGCATATTTATTAATGGACGATATTGGGAAGAAATTGATTACCCTTTAGCTTTCACTCTGAACGTGGCTGGAGCTTCTTTCATTTACAGGATCTACAGTCCTATAATGCCAATCTTGTAACAAGCATTTAAACGAAGATCAATTGTTCATATTGTCTGGAAAATAATAAAAAACACAAAATGGATTTTACTATAAAAAAATCTCTAGTGGCGCATTAGTTTATTGATGATACCTCTTGTTGTGGCCTGTTAATCTATAGACATTACAAGTAATCATCATAGTACCTTTCTTATTCAACTTTACTTTGGACCCAGAACTACTTAAAACATCTTCTTCTTCCTGTCTTCGTCTTTTTCTTCTGTTTTCTTCCCCTTTTAGGCAAAAACCATTCGGGTGGTTTCACTGGGGGAACATCTACTTGAGGCCATAATTTTATCCTATTGATAGGATTGATTGTATTCTCATAAAAACTCATATATGTGCTCACTTTATAACACTCATGTACATACTTCCAGGGCTCATCTCTTCTATCTAATATAGAAGCAACTGCGTGAGCACAAGGAATCCTCGATAAATCCCATCTCCTACACGCACATGTCTTGTTCAATAGATCAACAACACATTCTCCTACACGCACATGAGCACAATGTATATCTTCTACTCCTTCATGCTGTAACTTAATTGATTGTCAACTTGAGATCATCCTTTACGACCTTCATAATTAGTTTAGACTTCCAATCAGGGTCAACTTTGAAGGTTTCTAAATATCTCTCTGCTATATATTTAGTGGTACAATGCCTATTTGTTCTATCCCTCATGCATGTATGTTCTGAGTTTTTAGACTTTATTTGCACGCATCCTTTTTCTTATTTCATGATGCCCATATCCTCCATGTACAGTCTAATTTACAAATGGCCTGGGCTCTGAACTCATCATTAGGCCTAAACTTAAAGTTACACCCGGTTGCCACCCGTGGTTCCTAACCGCTTGCCTAAGCTCCTCTATATTTTAAAACTATTTTCTGACCTCTAGTTGAGGATCTAACTTCTCCTTCTCTGATCATAAATTGGGAAACGATAAGGGCTTTCTTCATTGGACTAATAATCGGTATGCAAATACTCTTCACTTGGACAGTAGCCGTCATTTGATCCTAAATCTTCTTTCCCAATAGCCGGAAGTTCGACAACAGAGTCTGCACTCAATCCAACCAAAACATGTTCACTTGCATTATTGAAAACCATCATCATTTGAATCATTCAAATGACATTCAATGGGTATCACTTCGTCATCTTCAAATGCATTATTTACAAATTAAATATCAGAACATCGTGAGAATACAACTCTACAATGGGCTATATTATAAAAACAAGCATGTGGGTGAACTTCAAGTACTATAAAATTTTACACAACTTTGGGCTGCTATAAATATAAATAATGATAAGTTTGATTGGCCTAGTTTAAAGTTTGTGAAGTGTTAAGGAAAAAACTTAGGTCATTAGTATATGGGAACTTATATAATTGATATAGGCTACTGGGAACTTAAAACCAGGGAAAAGTGACGTGAAACCCAAATTTCAATCTCGCTTAGAATCTATATCACATGAAAGGATGTGGTCCAATAACAAGGTGGTTGACAAATTCATAAACTGCTTATATAAAATAGAACGCATGGGTACTTACAGTTTCATTCCATCAAAAGATGTTAAAATTATTTACCTCCTTGTGATCCTTCTTCTATTGTCTCGAAAACTGCTTCTACAATGCCTACCATTAGTGGGTCATATAGGTCACCCTTGTTCCTCTAACTAAAGAACAAGTTAGACACTATTTGTGGAAATTGATTTCATTGTCTCCTTCTTCTTTTTATCTTTCTCATTATTTATTTATTTATTTATTATTATTTTTTTTTTTGAGGAATCCGGGGTTCTATAAAAATTGAGTTTTCTTAATTTGGAGATATATGAGAAATCTTTTCAATTAGGGCTTCACATTGGACAAAATGGTTTGGGGATGATGGGAGGGAGGAATTGATTTCGAATTTGGTTCAGGGATTTGGGAGTTTCTGGATTGGGGGTGAAGAATTGGGAAAATTATGTTTGATAATAGAAACTAATGTTTCTTGCAAGGTGAAGAGAAATACGTTATTTCAATTAATTTTTTTTGTCCTAGTGTGAATAATTAACGGAGTTTGTAGATACAGGATTTTCATCCATTACGTGTAATTTTTTTTTTATCCAAATGGACAGATGGAAACAATCCGAGTGATGGATATGTTACTTTTTATAAAAGTAAGTAAGCAGTCAGTAACCTTTTATTTTTGGGTGAGCAAGTAGTAACCACGTCCAAATGTTAGTGATGAAATGTTTAATTAACTCAATAATATAAGCTAAAAAGTTTATCCATAGTCAATAAAAAAATTGATCCCGAAGGATTCAGCACGCGAGGCCGCTGAATTTGCCAGTAGTCATGGCTTTGTTTTTGAATCTCATGATTTTATTGCAATTAAAATCGCATTATTCTCCTCAGAAGCGTTTGTTATATCAACCAAATTTTTTTTCATCTTTAGTATAAGTTTTAAGCATTTCTATTGAACTTCTTCTGGTTGAGTTGGAGAGTTCACGAACCAACATTCATTGCATTGTAGCAATCACACTGTGCCTGGCAAGACTGTTAGTTTGATGTCCCTCGAGTAGTATTCCGTAAAACGACATTATGAATTAATATTTGATCATTCACGTGTTATAATTTGAAACAATTATCAAAGGTTTCATGATTATATAAGTCACAAATTGTGTGCTCAATGGTTCGAATATTGTGAGACATAGTTTATGATGTGATCAAAATATATAATTGACTCTATTTTGTAAGTAGTCGATGATGGGATCGTTGAACTCTATTTTGTCATTAGTTCACAACTTCTTAGCCTAATGAATTGAGACTTAGGACAATACAATATTGAAATGGGAAAGCGGTCATTTTGCCGATTTCAACATATTAACGATCAAATAGGGGTTGACTTGTTGAATGATGATTGGAAGATATTGTTATTGGATCATATTTTGCTTCCGTAATTATCACTCATCTCGAGTGTGCAATTTTCGATTTTTTGGTACAATAAGTCGGAATTAATAAATGTATCTTAATTGATCAAGAGTTGATCCAATTAAAAACATCTATTGGAACTTGGATCCTGTATATTTGGTTAGGTCCCTCTTTTAACTCTAATAAAGACGGTGACTTAATTGACCCACAACACTAAAGTCAAAAGAAAATTGTACAATTATAAAACCCTAATTGAGTATTATGAATATACCCTTCGTGGCACATTTCTCAAGGTTTTAGGGTTAGCCACACTGTTTCATATTTCCTAAAAGGGAGGTACAAAAAAGAGAAAAAGGAAGAAGATCTAAAGAACGAAGCATTTGACTAGACTATAAAAGCTCTTTCAAGATTATTATCTCACCTTATGTGTGAGGATTTATAAACAAAGTCCAGTTATCTCACGGTTATCTAAAATCCATTATTCACTTACTTCAAGGGAAAATGAATTCTCTTGTAATGATTAAATTCAATAACCAACAAAAACTACATAGTACGATAAAAGTCTTCGACTTTTTTTCTTCTTCAGTGCTAAGCCCTTGTTTGAGCCATATTATTTTCATAAATATGCAATTTTGAATAGTATAATAATGGAAAATGTGTAGTTAAAAAATAAGAAAAAATTATGAATTTGCGTGTAACATTTTTTCATTGGAAAATGTGTTGTTGAAATGATATCAAATTACTGTTTAAAAGTATTCTTTTTTTTCCAAATAATATGAATCAAACAGGGCAAATCTTAATGAAACAACCAATCAATGAATTCCATGATTCCATCTCTATCAGAACAATGAATCTGATAAAGTTCAATAAAAAAAAAATGTCAATATTAAAAAACATATAAGCTTGAACGGAGGAAACCCACCCAAGTATCTCATTTGAAGCTACAAAAATGATTGCCCCTTTTTCTAAATGTCAACAATAACACTCAACAACATAGTATACGACATTGGTACTAATCTGTTTCTGTCGATAAATAAAGAAAAAATATATACTCTTCCTGCCTGTAGAAGATGGTCGAAAATGCACAACACTAGCATGATAAAAAGCTTCAGGGCCGCCATACGGTCTTTTGGGCACAGAGGAGGCCTTCCTTATCGTGTCTTAATTTCATTCGAATCTCCCAATGCAGACTCCTCAGGATTCCTTCTAATGGATCTAGTATTTCTTCCTTGTCACGAATTATTGCCCAACCACCGGGCCTTAATATGCGATCCATCTCAACAACAATTACTACAGGCTTCTTGCACCTGCAAAGGAAAAGTATGAAGAGACAAAGCACAAATAGGAATAAAGACAGAGAAGCAAAAAAAAAAAAATATATAGAAAGATACTGAGAGAGGAAAGAAACTGTAAGCATGCATCTTAATTTCCTTTTTCTTTGACATTGCTTTGGTGGACTTGGTTCATTTGGCAGATTTCTAGTACGACTTATGCCATCAGTAAGCTAATCCGTTCAAGATTCCACCAATAACAGTGAAGAAGCAGATACTAGGTCAGCAAACAAATTTTATCAAGGCAATTTCTCACCGGTTCTTAAGCCTCGAGAAGAGGTGATCAGCATGCAGAAGGTCATAAGATCTTGGATAAGTACCGAAAGATTCACACCAATCATGATAAACGCCGAAAAGCCCACGCTCAAAAATGATGGGAAGTGTGTCTGGAGCATGTACCGGTACCACATTCATCACCCACACCTGTTGCTTAGAAAGTGCAGCAGCGAATCTGTAAAATTACTATAAAATTTAGTACTCTATAAGCAGTTTGGCTTTCGAATCGTCCGTTCATTATTGTCAATAGTTGTAGAAATATGAAATATTCAAGCAAATAGAGTTTAATAGTAGTAACTCTATTAACTTACCCTCCATTGATGGCTTTCATGTCCATTACATTTCTGATAGTCGACCAATCAACACCTAATCCTGTTAGATAAGGCCCTTTCACAACAGTTTTCCAGTGCTCACTGTCGGCAGTCAATCCCTCTATTTTATTCATCCAGTCGGGAAACGTGTTAAGCCTCTTCGGCCATACCTCAGGCCATTCAGTGCCACGTTGTTCAATGGCTTCAGGAATGGCATGCAGGCAATTTTTCAATGGAACATACCTGCCACCGATAACATGTTGAAGTTATATAACATTACCATACCAAAATTTTAAATGAAGCGACATTAAGCCCCTATTTGGTGGGGATTAAAATTTAAATTTAAATCAAAATCAACGTCAACAATTAATTTTAATTACATATTTTATGGGACACACAACTTTTCAATCATGCATTTCATCGACTTTTATCAAAATCTACTAAAAATTTGATTCTAATTTCCTCCAAACAGAGGCTAAATATATGAATCCAGAGATGAATCAAGATATACATCATGCCTAAATTATAACGAGTAACTGTGTGCACCTGAATGCAAAGTAACATTTTTGGGAGTGTTAGTTAAACTTTAGAGTCAATAAGTAACGTATGCCAAGTTATACATGGGAGAGAAAGTAAGTGTGCCCAGTTATACATGGGAGAGAAACTATGGCGTGCAAAGTGAACTTGTCGTCCTTACCAGGCAGCATCTGTATTCTCATTTTCCTTGCACATAGGAGGATCTCTTTTTCTTCTCAGTCTATATAAGTTATTTGATTCGGGCTTTTGATATACCTTGACACCTATATCGCTGACCTCATCGACTTTATCAGCCAGGATGTTCCAACAAACAGATACCGTCAATTTGGACAAAGCTGGAAAAGAAGAGGAATGACATAAATAGACGTTGCATTATCAAAAAAAAAAAGGAAAAACAAAGAAGAAGGTATTTTTATGCATGATAAGACACAAATAAACAGAAAAAATGGAATGGATCAACACAGCTGATGTTACTACATGGCGCCTAGGGAAAAATTTCCACTTTTTCAAATTAGTTTTTTCCAAATAAGATTCTGCTTCTGATCAAGAAAACTCATAATATTTCTGGATTTCTGCGAATACAGCAGATAAAACATTCCAAGCATCATTTTTGCAAAGAAATAGGGAAGTGTTCCTCTTACACGTGGATTTGACAAGCATTTTTGACAAATAATCGTGACCTTTAATTTAAGCAAATTCAACGGTTAGTATCTCATGAATTTCGTTGGCTTTAAATTTAAGCAATTTAGCAGGGATTTTGAAGAATGTCTCTCAATTGCAGATAAGAACATCTCAGATCTCTGGCAGTGGAGAAGATGTTTTTCAAATGAGATGAGCAGCAATAAAAGTTCCATAAGTTGTCCAAGGGGTAATTTCAGAACAAAATTACATGTGCACGAAATTTCATATCATAGAATAAAGACACGTTTTGCATTATGTACTGAATAGGATAACTCGAAAGAAGCATGTGATATATTTGTTAGGAATCCGGATCTATTTCTAGATTCATCCCCAAATCCTCTAGAGATTCCATTATGCGACAAATTAAAATAATTACACAGAATCTCTTGCACACCGAAACCCCCCAAAAAAATCTCATCCCAAGCCTCATTAAATAAGAATTAGTTCGAAAAATAGAAAAGTATTATATTCACCCCGTTTTCTTGAAAATTGCCAATTATTTTTACATTTATTTCAATAGCCTATGCATTCCTTATATAGCTCTAAGCTCTCCTTTCCTTTCCTTTCCTTTCCTCTCCTCCCCTTTTATTTTCTATTCGATTTAGGGACAAATATGAGGAGGAAAAAAAGGAACTAACAGTCCAATGTACATTTTCTATTGTAACCCTCTGACAGTGGGATCTAGAAATACTTTGGAATTTGTATAAACAATGACACTGTTATTTGGTTATTGTAATTCTATTCTTGAGACAGAGACACCCAAATAGGACTAGTTGGGGTGTTAGTCATAGCTAAAAGATATATAAGAAGGTCGATAAGGTCTAAAATCTTTCAAAATTCACAAACATCAACTCCTACAGAGAGCAAGATGAAATATGCCAATATGCAGAGAATTACTGTATTGAAGGAAATGCACAACATGAACAAAATCCCTACCCTTTAGGTGTTTGATTAAAATATAATAAATTAAGAGAACTAAGAAAGAGAGGGAATGAAGGATAAATTGTCCTCAGCCCAATGCGGGTGCTTTTAGCATTGTTATAAGAACCAAACCACACCAACAGTTTTCACAGCTAAAACTGGGTACTGATGTTGTTATATGTAAAAAATTGAAAATGTAAACCCCTTTAAAATAACCTAGGAACAGGCTGGTTTTACTGGTTCATTTCTTAAAAAAAGAAGAAGTTGTTTTAATTTATTTAGGAATTTTTTTATTTTTTATTTATATTTTATATGTTATATTTTTTTACAAACGGTTTGACCATGGTAGTTTCTGCCAAATTTACATGGACTCAAGGCCTATAGCAATGGCCAATGAGAAGATGGGTGTATCATATCAATCACTATTCAAGTCGATGTCTGTGAATTTTGGAAGCTTGTATGTAAACAACTTGGTATATGATTTTAGACCTCTACATGTGACCCTATATCAATAAAAGAAATGCAATAACCAAATAATAATGTGTACATACTTGGTATATGATTTTAGACCTCTCCATGTGACCCTATATCAATAAAAGAAATGCAATAACCAAATAAGAATGTGCCATTCAAGTACCTTAATCACAGAATATTTCTAGATCCCAACGTTAGATAGAGTGTTGACAAACACACAATGAAATATTTCACATGGATCTCTCCTTTAATACTACAATACCAAACATATCTTTATTGTATGATGCAAAAGTTCCTCACACTGTATCAAATTTCAGTTCATAAATGTCATTTCTAACTTGTGCATTCTAGTTTTACCTTCCAATATTCTCTAACATACAAAATTTGACCTCCAAATGTAATATAAATGCTATCCAATCTAATCTCACCCACACCCCTCCTTCCAGTGCCTCCTCCAGTCCCCAGGAAAAATGAAGAATATTATGGCCCTGTTTGGTACCCATTTTTTTCAAAATGTATTTTTAGCTTTCTTCTTTTTAACCACACATTCTTCATTAAAATAATATTACACGTAAATCAAAAACTTTTTCTTATTTTTCAACCACACATTTCTCATCAGTTTACCATTCCAAAATGCATTTTTACATAAAAATGGCTCCCAAACACCCTCTATAACTTATATTTTACATGCACTACCATGTATCATGCATGACACATCCTCCTCGTTCTCATAGTTTCCAGTATCCATAATTGAGGCTATTGACCAAGTAACGGACTAGATAGTGTTCCAATCAAGGGATCAGTAAATTACTGGTCAGTCCTATTGATTGTCCTATGATGTAAGAGAAAAATGGGAAAGGAGAGAGCAAACCTTCTTCAGCTTCAACACTGTTGTGTTTAGTAGAGAGAATGAAATACCCCCCTGGCCTCAAAATCCTATTCAGCTCTAAAATAAGCTTAACCCCTGAAAATTAATTTAAAGAAAAATCGTCCTGAATTCGGAGCTACTAATGTCAATAAATAAAACAAACTAGAAAAAGAAACAATTTCTCAGAAGCTAAAGGGTGATGAAACAAACCATTTGAATGCCAAGCCATATTGCATTCTGAACAATGAATTGCATCAAATACACCGCTAGGAAAAGGAAGCCTTCGAGCTGAAAAGGGGCTAACCACAGCAGGAAAACCACGCTCTAGGGCAAGCTGTGCCAGATCCACTAGGTCATCTTTCAAGCCAAGTGCAAGCGTCAGCACATCCTTCTCAAGTAAAGAAGCCCCAAAGCTTGAATCTTTACATCCAATATCTAGAACTATGCGAATGTTTTTTCCCCATTCAATGTCTGGTACCATCTACAAAGTTCAAATTCCTCCAAAAATCAAATATGAAAAGTACTTTTTAACCATATATTCTCCAAAAATTCATTATTTTAATTCCTTTTCTCAAAAAAATTAATTTTTTTGAAAGACAAACAGGAGCTTAATGAAAACTACTCTTTTGCTTAAATTAGTGAGGTTGATTAGTTGGGGAATGCTCAATTGGAGCCCCTGTTTGACCCCCATTACGTGGAAAAATTAATGGGTGGAATAATATTTTTTTGAAAAATGAGTGGTTGAAAAAGAAGAAATTTTTTTTGATTTATGTATAATATTATTTTATTGAAAATTGTGTGGTTAAAAATAAGATAAAGAAAAATGAAATGTAATGTAATGAAAATTAATAGGGCTCAAACGGGGCTGAATAACGTTACCAACCAATGGGGGAGGTGTTTGAATATTATAAGCATAAAGATTCGAATATAGTCTCCATTAATTGGTCTGTCGATATCAATGGAACCTTATCTTGTAAATGGATTTTCTCAACAATTTTTATATTATAGCGGTGTTTGGGAGCATATTTTTATGTAAAAATGTATTTTTGAATGTAAATTGATGGAAAATACGTGGTTGAAAAATAAGAATAAATTTTTGATTTACATGTAATATTATTTTAATAAAAAATATGTGATTGAAAAAAAGATAGAGAAAAATGTATTTTGAAAAAAATGGTTACCAAACGGGACCTATGGGCCATTAACAAGTCCAATTAGCCCAGTTGTATTCAGGTCTTATTCCGTGAGCTCGGAATTAATTTAACCCATGTTTATCTTCTGTTAACTCAAAAATCATTTTTTTTTCTTAAATTTATTTTTAATCATACGTTCAATAACAAAAAAATTTATGTATAAATTCAAAATTTTGTACTTTTTAACCATATATTCTCCAAAAATTCATTATTTTAAATCCTTTTCTCAAAAAATTAATTTTTTTGAAAGACAAACAGGAGCTTAATGAAAACTACTCTTTTGCTTAAATTAGTGAGGTTGATTAGTTGGGGAATGCTCAATTTGAATAACGTTACCAACCAATGGGGGAGGTGTTTGAATATTATGAGCATAAAGATTCGAATATAGCCTCCATTAACTGGTCTGTAGATAGTCAATAGAACCTTATCCTGTAAATGGATTTTCTAGACAATTTTTATATTATATAAAGTCTGTTTGGGAGTGATTTTTTTCCCTAAAAAATTGATTTTTTGATCGTTATTTTACTATTTCAGTTGTCATATTTGATTTTTTCTCTCATAGATGGATCCCACTTTTCTCCTAACGATCAAAAAATCAATTCTCAAACAAGCTCATAATAACTTATAAGGCCATGTTGATTAAACTTAAATAATTTACTTGCGAGATAGAATGATTTTTTTAATTGGTCAAAATTGAATACTGCAAGAAAGAGTCTTAAACCTTAGCGTATGAAACTCGTGAAAGTGAAAGTATTCTACTGTGAATGCCTATGGTCATGTCGGGCCTATTCACAGAGCCGGCTCAACTAGATTGGAGCCTGTAGGCAAAAAATTTTAGAGCATAAAATTTCGTCATTTCTTTTAATTAAAAAAGAGAAAAACTAATAGTTCTTCAACGGCAAACACGATAATCTCTCAATAATGATGAATTTTCAACTAAATTAAAATATGTGCGATAGATAATTTATCATTACAATACGATTTCCAATTCCATCGTGAATTTGTTGTAAAAAGAAAATCAATGTGATGTGAAGAATCTTTTAATCTCAACCAATGATCTGCTAATTTTTTATTTTTTATTTCACTAATTCCTCACATGTATATATGTCTAAAATGTAGTTTGTAGCCAAAAAAAATAAAAAAATTAAAAATAAAAACAGAAAATAAAAAAGAAAGGAAAAACCGAAAAACACACAAATCAACTTCTGGCCTAACCTTATTATTATTATTATTATTATTTTTTAATCCAGACAATGGCATATTCTCTTCGTCTACTTTGTAGGCTCCATTGTTTTAGAAAATCACAATTCAGAGTATTCACAAGCATAAATCAAGAAAATAGGTTTTCGTTGAATTATGTGTACAAAATATAGAAGAAACAACACAATACCTATCATTATGGATATTTTCACCTTAGATACCTCTGTTGGGTTTTTTAATTTATCATGTAGTCCTACATATGTAATTAACTATACATAAAGGTGCCCCCAGGACATAGTCCAGTGGTACAAAGTATAGGAGTGAGGTTATCTCACGCCTTGTTGACAGTCGTAGTGTGAGGATTTGATTTCTGAGACATGAAATTGAACTCTTTGTAGGCGCAGTGTACATGCAGCTCTTATTCCCTGACCTGTTGGGACACATCCTGCGATTTACCTCCATCACAAAGTTCTAGGGACGGGACGGTGGGGGCCATCAAGATTGGAGGTCAACCTTTTTTTTTTTTTTTTTTTTTTTTTTTTTTTTTTTTTAACTATACATAAAGGTTATCTTAAAGTTGATTTCATTTAAAGTGTTCTAATAAAGAATTAAAGTTATGGGATTTGGACATCTAAATAAATTATGGAACTAAATATGTGTAGAGACCGGATCCATTAAAATTATATTTCATGAAGGTCGAAATACTTGTTATAAATAAAACGAAAATCAATATGATGTGAAGAATCTTTTAATTTCAATTAATGATCTGTTATTTTTTTTTTCCTAATTCCTCACATGTATATATGTCTAAAATTTAGTTTGTAGCCCCCCAAAAAAAAAAAAAAAAAAATGAGAGAGAGAGAGAGAGAGGGAAAAACTCACAAATCAACTTATCGCCTGACTTTTTTATTTTTATTATTTAAATCCAGACAATGGCATATTCTGTTCGTCTACTTTGTAGGCTCCATTGTTCTAGAAAATCACAATTCAGAGTATTCACAAGCATAAACTAAGAAATAGGTTTTTGTTGAATTATATGTACAAAATATAGAAGAAACAACACAATACATATCATTAAGGATATAATCACCTTAGAGACCTCTGTTGTTTTTGTTTGTTTGTTTGTTTGTTTGTTTGTTTTTTTTTTGGGTCACATGGGCCTACATATGTAATTAATCATATATAAATGTCATCTTAAAGTTGAGCACATTTATAAACAATTAAAGGTATGGGCTTTGGGCAACTAAATAAATTATGGAACTAAATATGTGTAGACATCGAATCCATCAAAGTTACTATATATATATATATATATATATATGATTTTCAATTTTTATGTCATCTCATCAAACAAGAATACAAGAGAGAACATATTGAAGATGAAGATTCAAAATTCACAATCAAAATCAAGAATAGGGGATTGAAGCAATCAAGATTACGAAGCAAGAAGTCAAAATCGAGAACAAAAATTCAAGAATCAAAAGAGTCAATATTCATGATTAGAGATTAATAAATCAAACATATAGAGATTGCAGTTGATCTTCAAAATTCAAGATCCGGAATTAAGATTCAGTATTAAAGAATCATTCCTAATGAATTAAGGTACGTTTCACATTTAATAATTCTCTTGGTGATATGACCGGAGGACCTTGACAATTAAGTAATCAGGTTTTCAAGTTCTTGAGATTTAAGGTTTCATAAAGTTGGTGTTAACATAATGAGAATCATCCACAGTCCACTTGATCATTCAACAACCAATTAGTAGTATCCAATTGAAAACCTTTTTCTAAAATTGAAGAAAGTTTATAACTGATAATTGGGTTTGGGTCCACGTAAGAGCATTACGTGATCTTCTGCATCCAGATTTATATACCTATTGACACGCTATTTTTTGAAATGGTCCATTCCAATGGGAAGGCAAAATGCTTGGTTCTAAAAGTAATTGTGTTTTATAGGCTGATACACTTTTTTTTTTCCCTGTGTACATGTAATGTTTGCCTGAATGCATATATGACATTAGACATACAGCTTGTTGCACACGAGCTACATTCCATGATTCATATTTTTGTTTTCGTAATTCATATCACGTTGCTTGATGTGTGTCTACTATTAGGATAGTCATGAAGCCACCACAAAGAATTGTGTCGAAAGCGATTTTTATAATGTTAAAGTAATGTATTGATTTTGAATATCAAAATATTTGTATTCAAGAAGGTGTGTTCATTAATATTAATTTTTCTTTAAATATTATGTGACTCAATTATTTGTGCAATATAGTAGCAATGCGTACACTTTTTTACTGCATAATAATAGAGTCACTTGGTTAATGCACCATTTGCTGGAATCCGTGCCCTTTTATGACTAAGGCCCCGTTTGATATACATTAATGTAAAAATGAGAATGAAAAATATAATCGTTATGGGTTCCACACAAGAGATATAAAGTCAAATATAGTTGCTTGATGTGATGGGTAACGGTCATATAATCATTTTAATAAAAAAATAATGAGAAACAAACGGGGGCCAAAAAAGTATTCGAACACTCTATATCCACATGTAGAATGGAAAGTTCAAAACGTGAACCTGCAGCCCTATTGACACCAGTACTGTTTCTTGACACTTCTTTCACTGGCTGCTTATCTTTACCATTAGTTTTGGCATTCACAAGATCTCTATATTTTTTTTGGCAATCATTTTTCATCCACAAACTTTGTTAACGATCTTTTAAATGATGAACAAAAATTTAATTATAATATTATATCTATTGTTGTTTTTTGCTTATTATAAAATACGATGGATTGATAAGTCTTTTCACTCACTCTGTTACTTTTGACCGAAAATATCTCATAACATTTAAGTCATTTTTCTCATATGTTGCCATCAATCGCTGATTCAAGGTGGCAATGATGGTGATGGACAGGCATACTTCATTTTAAAGATTTATACCTTCCCTCATAATATGGTGCTTGTGCTTCACCAGGTGGTTTGATGCCTGATTTGACAGAATTTACTGAGGACTAATTAGCCAATGGAGCTAAAGGTTCGGGATTAAGAAGTCCAATTTTCAAAGTTGAGGACGAGATTGCCAAACATATCAAAGGTTGGGGACTAGCACGTTTGGCTCCATTTTTATTGATGAAAATTGACATCAACTCCTCTGTTTCTCCAAAATGTATACCAAGTCGCCTTACTTCTCAAGGCAGTAGTTCTAGTAATTGTATCCACCATTTGACCAACGGCTAGAAAATCCAGTTTCAAACAAGAACATAGTACATCTTTGATGAACTCTTAACTAAACTAAATTTCACGTTTTCTCGTAATAAAAACTAAACCTGAATCTTCTCTTTATGACCATTCCAACTTACTGCTTGTCAAAATACTATAAAGCCTCTCCACAAGCTCCCTTTGGAAAACTGTATAAGTGGCTATTGTCTGGTAGTCATGGTAACTGACTGAACAAGGGGAAGACCCGAATCTGTCGAGGGACTAGGCATAGAAGAATATTGTATGGAGTTCGACTCCAGAGCCTTTTCTTGAGAAGTGTTCATGTTTATCTTTATCCTGCACCAGAGAAACATTCAGTGATACTTTTCAGATTTTATCGGTTTTACATCCATGTATAGGATATCACTTCCACAGAAGTGCTAGCATTTTGAAGAAAGCAGAGAATTCTTTGCCAGTGTTTGGGATAAAAAAATAAGCCTATTGCTATCGACTTTACTTTGTAGGGATTTGTATATCCATGGAAGTTGTAAATTTTAACGGAAAAAGAAAATAATTTTTACCTGTTATGTATGTTGACATATTCATCAGTTTCATCCAGTATCTCCTCCTGAAAAATGAATAATATGCAAGAACAGAAAAAAAGTAAGCAACAAAAGAAAATAATGAAATAGCTAATATTCAGAAACTACAGAGCAGCATTAACAGTTGAAGGGGCAAAATTTAAAAACTGAAGCAAGACCACCCTGCAATGGCCTCAGAGATAGTAACAGCCAGTACATTTTAAAAAATAAAAAATAAAAAATCGGCGTGATTATCCATCGTAAAATGCACTAAAAATAGAGAAATGGGAGGGGAAGGAATGGCTGCTTAATATTGATTGGTTGAGCCCAAATTCATGTACCTGAAGAAGCTCCTCAATAACATCCTCCATGGTAATTACACCAACAACTTCATGATTGGGTGGGTATTCAGGAATTGGAGAATTCTCAAAATCTAAAATGCAATGTGAGCAGCCTCTATGTTTCTTTTTGAAAGCAGGAGTAGATGGAGGGCTTTTCTTTGCATCGGCCTTGCTTAAGGTTGTGTCAGCATCATGTGAGATGAATTTTATCGCAAGGTTGTCAATGTCTGCAAGTAGGACCCACCTTATCATGTTTCCAATAAACACAAAGCAGAAGGTTTACTCATTTATGCAGGTATCAAGAAATCAGACTAAGCAAGGGAAGACATGTGAATTGCAATAAATAAATGACGTTTAGTTCGAATCGTCACTCATATATTACATAAATGTAGTAGAACTGAGGTGCGGATGAAAATATGAAGGAAAACAAAACCAAAATAGCATATAATGTACTGTGGATGGATCAATGCAGTGGACAGTTAGTAAGAACAAGATATATAAGCAATAACTTACTCACTTTGATAAATATGATACAAAGAAGTGATGAGAAAGACAAGGGGCAATAACAGGGAGATAGAAATCCAAAATAAACAAAGAAAGAACAGAGAGTTAAAAAGAAAAAAAATAATAAAATAAAATAAAAAATCCCATAAAGCCGTTAGTCATGACTATATCAATTCTCATTGTTTAAACCTTCTTTGGTTTTCTGCATCGTTTGTTTTGTTTCGTTCAGATCCTTATATACAACAGCAATGTGACTGTGACCCCTCTGAAATTCATTCAGAATATCATAAAGTGGCATGTTTTCCGGAACCCTGAGAATTGTACAAGCAAGGCAAAAGAATTAGATACTACAGGGAGGGGAGGGAGGATGAACATAACCCAACTACTCCTACTGTGGGAGTATAGTCGATAAAGATCCAAAATACAATAACTTTTTGAAGAAGATGCTTTATCCAAGTACATGGTAGCAGAATAATAAATTTACTAACAATCTGCCATATTTGGAAATAAAATTCCTCACAGTGCTATTTATTTAAAATGGTGGGAGCAGAAAATCAAGTGTATCCTTACCAGGGTATTCTTCTTAATAACATTTTCCTCAGAGGAACTGAATGTTCAGGGTCAACAGCTAACAGATTTTTAACCTGCACAAAATAGAGATAAATAATAGGTTTAAACCGGAATTGGCACACTGCACTCATTAGTTTCTGACTGCATTTGTAATTGAAATAGAAAAAAGGTAACTTTTGAAGACAGATCTGCACAATTAATAACAAGTGATACCAAGAATGCCAATATCGTGATTGTGCATAGGAAGAAAATAAATTACCAGTATAATTCCAATAATGTTATTTGGATTTTTATAATAAACTGGAACCCTACTATGGCCCATTGTCATTATAGCATTCAGTGTTTCCCTGTGCAAGGATCATACATGGATTAAGTATGTAAATGACATATATAGAACATAATGACTAGATTCAACAGCAAGTGATAAACGCACAAATTAAGAGCTCCATCTAAATCAATGGAAAATGCCTTTAATATCGGGGTCATGGCATCTTTAGCAGTCTTCTCAGTCATTTCCAGAGCCCCAGCAATTATTGTTGTCTCATCATGAGTCAAATCCCCGCCCTTCCCAGCCTATTAAAAAAAAAGATTATGCAATGTTAAATGTGAAAGAAGAGTGACGGTACAAATGTTCTTCTGTAGATACAATTATTTTGCGAAAAGCAATTAGACTATAATTTCGGTAAATAAATTGGTTAGTTAATAGAACAGGGAGAAAATGAAGAATTCCATGATTTGATAGTGTACCTCATTACCATGAAAATCCATAAATGTTTTCAGTTCAGCTCTACGCAAAAGGGCAGCATGCCCCTTACCCAGCATCCAATCCAGAACCTAGGACGAAAACATCCTAAAAGCTTTAGAACTTAATTGACAAGAGGCAAAGATCGCCTCTAGGTATTTCATAAACAGATTAAGCCTCCGTTTGTCCCCCATTAATTTTAATTTTATTACATTTCATTTTTCCCTTTCATATTTTCAACAACATAATCTTCCATATAATAATATTATACATAAACCGAAAATTTTTCTTTCTTTTTCAACTACTCATTTGTCAAAAAACACTATTCCACCCATTTTCATTTTCCCAAAATGGGGGCCAAATGGGGGGTAAGAGGGTGCTTGGTAGGGATTTTGAGAATTGATTTATTAACCGTTAGAGATAAAAGTGGGTTCTACCTGTGAGAGAAGAATTTAAAAATGACGACTGAAATAGTGAAATAACGGTCAAAAAAATTGATTTTAATTGGCTTAAAATCCCACAAAACACCCCCTAAATAAAATAATCTCGTCAGTTTTCTTAACTTTCTGTCAGTGTCCTAGCAGAGAAAATAACCGACTAACAAAACTTCTAACACACAGAAATTTGTCCAGCAGAATGTATAAAACATCTCATGCACATCAGATGTACCTTACTAATTGGATAAGCAATAGGGAAAAATGCCCAAAGAAGAAGCTGGACAAAGGGTGCCACTGTTGCTCCAACAGTTAATCCATACCGAGTACAGATTGCTTGAGGCAATATCTGTAAATGTAATAATTTAACCAATTAAAGAACTAGAATAAGCATGATTCATAACATCATGTTAAGTTTAGTTAAAGATAAAGCACCTCCCCAAACACGAGGATGAGTGTGACTGATATCAGGATTGCTGCCCATGTAGGCACGAGCTTGTCCAAGAATATGGGAAGAGACTACAGGTAAAACCATAACCATGACACACGGTTTAGATCATCATACATTAACATAAGATACAAATGTTATCAAGTAAAGGATGTTCTACAAACCTCCATCGCTAAAGAGTTGCCAATCAAGAGCGTACATAGCAAAAGATGTTGATTCTTCACCACTGGAAGTATTTTAGCTGCCAAACATAGACGCATTTCAAATTATTAGTTACAAACATCAACCTCATATGCAGACAATTCATATACCAGTTACCCTAATGCAAGCTAAAACCAATAAGGTCGGAGAACAGTCCGAGATAATTAAGGGAATCAGAAAATCTCAAGAATCCCAACAAAATGATATAATATTTTTGAAGTCTGTGATTCAGCATGGAGAAAGAATCTCCCAGATTTTACATCCTCAAACTCGAACTTTTTTCTCCTCCCAAATCTTAGTTCTTACTTATACCTGCAGCAACTAAATAATATAGCAACAATCCACGCAATAATATTGCTCATCAATAATAATCCAGTCAAGAAAAACCCACAAACACAATTACATACACCAACTCACAAGTGCCAAATTAATAACAAAAAAAAAAATTTACAAAAAAGAAAAAGAAAAAAAGAAATGATCAATTCATAGACTCAGCTTCCAAATCATCGAAACTTCGAAAAATCTATATATAGATGCATAAATAATAAATTATATACACAAAAGTGAAAATTGAGGAATTGTGCAGTACAGGCATGAATACGATCCTGAGCGCGCCCTGATTTGCTGAGAACCTCAAGGTCTACAAGACCAAGAGACATAAGCCCAAGAGTCAGACCAGCCATGAGCCCAGCAAAGGTCACCAGTCCTATGATTATCAACACATACAGAAAAAACTTGGTTTCACAACAGGGTAAGTCATCCGCCATCTACCTCACACAGTGCGTGTTTGTGTGTTTTTGTGCACTTCCTTAAAAAAGTAGTTTCTTGCAATCTGCAGTTTATGCTGGCGATTTTGTTTGTGTTTTGTCTAAGAATTTATTATTCTCAGTCTTGGAGTCCAATTTGGAAGGAACCCAAATGTAATCGACCACACTGGGGGATTTGCAGTATATTATTTTCGGTGAGCTGAGTTGTTTTTACATTTTCAATAATTTGTACGGTTTGAGTTCATTATGATACGATAAACAGTTTCTTAATCAATAAAGATTTATTATTATTATTATTATTTTTTAAATAATGAGATCACAATCAAATTTGTACGACTTCTAATAATTCATGAATTTTAATAATTAGTATAATAAGCCCCTGTTTGATCTCCATTATGTAGAAAAATCAATGGGGGAATAGTATTTTTTAAAAAATGAGTTGTTGAAAAAGAATTAAAAATTTTCGATTTACGTATAATATTATTTTATGGAAGATTGTGTGGTTCAAAATAGAAGATAGAAAAATGAAATGTAATAAAATTTAATGTAATGGGACTCAAACAGAGGCTAAGTCAGACGTGGTCATGTGGAGTGTAGTAAGAGGGTGTTTTGACACCTTTTTTTAAGGAAAAATAAATTTTAGTATAGTAGATTAATAAAAAATGTGTCGATGAAATTTTTTTTATTTACATATAATATTATTTTAATGAAGAATGTGTGGAAAAAAAAAAGAGAATGAAAAATGCATTTTAAAAAAATGAGAATCAAACGGGCCTTAAGAATCAAATTCAGGATGCAAATTATTTAATTAAATAGGCAATATTAAAGTTATTTGATCTCAATTCTTTAAAACTCTTTTTTTCTAAACTTATTTTCAATAACATATTTTATAAGATTTTAATTTTTATCAATTTTTCAATAACACATTTCATTGATTTTATCAAAACTTAACAAAAATTAGTTTTTAATCAAACCAAACAGGGAGCTAAGAACAACACTTTTTAAGCACAATCTAGATATATCTTTCTAAGCATATAATTAGTTGCTGTTTGGGTGTAAAGTAATACTACTTTAACTCCATTTGAGTTTCACTTTTTGGTAGAATAGAATCTATTATAGTATATTTTTAGAATGTGTGATTAAAAAGTATAAAAATGCACAATTATTTTAGTAAAATAATGCATAATTGAAAGTTAATTCGAGAAAAAATGTATTGAGTTGGGGGTGGGGGTGAAGACGATGGATGAACTAATTCGAGAAAAAATGTACTGAGTTGGGGGTGGGGGTGAAGACGATGGATGAACAGTTTTCTTTTCTTTCTTTTTTTGTTTAAATTATTTTAATTATTTTAAGGTAATAAATAGCTAAGTTACCATTTTATCCTTTTAAATTTGGTCAAAATCAAATTTCTTGATCAACTAACGGTCAAATGGATGGAAACCATTCATTTGGACCTCATGTGCGAAATTTTCAAAAGTTGAGGATCTTTTCTGGCACAAATTGAAAGTTAGGGTAAATTCTGCAATGAAGTAAAAGGTTAGAGACCACTTGTTGAAATTTTCCCTATATATTGCGAAGAAAGTTTAAAAGAGAATATGGGTGATTAGCTGGAATATGCTGAGAGTGGAGCCCACAGCTCTAATTGTGCTTACTGCTAACGAGATTCTGAAACTTGATGGAATTAAACGCAACAACCAAACTCGTGCTGCATTCTGCAGATAAGGTTGGTCTTTGGCGTACATAGTCGAGGTCGTTTGAGAGTGAATTATTGTACGGAAAAATTCATATATGCATTAATAAAAAATATTAATTCACATCTTACCATGTGAATATATTATTAACTAACTAAAAATACTAGATTGACGGTTAAAAATGTTTAAAATACTACCTGCCAAAAATAAATCCTAGACCAGAATTTGTAACGGATGAAAAATTAAATATCTTCATATCACGTCCTTACATTATCTAACCTTCCATATAACAGAATTTAATAGAAAAAGGGCTCCCCACGATGACATAGATATTCATATCATGCTGGTCTCAATGCAAAAACATTCCGGCATCTTAATCACGAATTCTCATAATATTAATCTTCTGAATTCAGCCAACATGCATATTGCAAAAGTGAAAAATATTGTCAAGATTATAATTTATATCACAAAGAATTAATAGTCATTTTAATTCTACATATAGAAGTACTTTATATATCGATTCATGTATGATTCCTGTATGTAATACATTCTTATATCTGAATTGACTTTGTGAGATTACCATACTTAGCTGCCTTTTAATCATCACACAATAGGGTCAAAATCTAAAAGGTTTTTTCAAATGGATTTCATATTACATACACATTAACATCGAAAAATCACAAAGTTTATGTGCCATGTGAGAAAACGAAAGGGACAACCATGTGTGGACGTTGCGGAGGGAAGGATATAATAAAAGAGGTTGCTTGCACCCTATGCCTATGTGCCACATGAGAAAACGGAAGCATCGGTCCTAGTTGAATCAATAAATGAAGTCCATTTATATATAATGCTTTTAAATATTTACATTTACAACAAGAACCTAGATTGGTCATTTGTTCCTGACCCCGCGGGTACGTGTCTATGTGCGTAATGCTTCATTTACAACAGTGAGCTGTGAGGTTGTATACAGGAAGGATGTTAAAAGGTACAATATCATCAACTTCATAACGTCCTCATTTGATGCGTTCTAGGGATGGTTTAGAAAAGTTTGTTCCACATCCTTTTTGTACATGCTCTTCATATCGCTAAAGTAAATCTTTTTCAGTCTACATTCACCAATTTTAAACATGCTTATGTTGTCTTCTCCGACACATTTCAACTCAGTCACCAAACAAAATTCTTGACTTGAAAATCTAAGGAGATTTCTTGCAACGTTGAACCACATTTCATTGTCGTTGGATTGCTTCACTTCCATCAAAAGCATTTTTTGTAATGTTTGGTATAGAATCCGAATATAATTTATCAAGAGGAATTGTCCAAAACATGTTCTCGAAAAAATTTATTTCCATGTTTCAGTTAGATTGTCTTTTAGATATAAAATTACGTCATCTTTGAAGAAGACATTAATGTTGGCATCTACTCCGTTTAGTGCTTCTACAAAGTATACATAATCCTGTATGATTAAGAAAAGATAAAAGGTGATGTTAGTTTATTAGGAACCACAACTGCGAAAGCATAATGTCAACACTTAATAAAAATATGCATTAAATGTTTATGTAAAAATTTTAAAAAATGCACGTGTTCTCGTTCTATTTCATGATAAACATACATTTTCATCATCATGCGTTGATCCAAATCAAACAATGTATTCAGACAAATAACGAATATAGATTGGAAACATGTCAAAATTATGAAAATCTTTCTTGAACCTCTAAAAGGATTAGCATAAATTTAAGTACAAGAGTATAACAAAATGGAGAGAATTGCATGAGAAGCATTTATGAAAAGATTAAGAATGACCGGCTTAACAATGCCAGAGAAATTTTGGGAGTGATTGTTGCTGTTCAAACCCTTTGGTTTGATTCGAAGCTTGAAGCAGCTCTCGGTTCCTTTGGTGGTGGAGCATCACAACTTGTCCTCGTAGGTGCAAGTGAGTGTCAATGCTCATAACATTTCACTCTAATATTTGCATCTCTTCAAGGAAAGAGTACGAGTTATATTCAAAGTATTATCTGCTACACTTACTTGAACTTAAATGGCCAAAACTGTATGACACACCAAAACAAACAAGATTTTAGACGTAGTTTTTCTTTAATTATGTCCACTTCTATCCAATTCGCCTTAAATAATTTGCATAACAAACTTGCCATAAGAGAGCGTCAAACATGAGTGCTTGGTTCTCATTTTGGCCAATAAAAAACAATTTTCTACTTTCTCAATACATGGCTTATCCATTTTGTATTTTCCCATGACAAGCTCAATATAACAAAATAATAAGTAAAAAGAAAGTCATAACTCCTGAGTCGCATTTATTTTCAGAATCAAAGATTTGGGGCATTTTATCATGTCATTAAGATTTTGTATCCGAACTAATATGTTCACACGATCATGGATTATAATAGGCTATCCTTGTTTACTATACTTTGGCAAGTTAGGCATATCAACTAATAAATGCAGTTCTGGAAACATAATGAGTAGAAGATATTTGCATTCTATTTATAATTTGAATTCTGAAGTTTAAGCATTGAAAGAGGAACAAGGGATATGAGAAGATATTCTACAGGTTCCTGGAATAGGCTTAGCACATGCAATCAAACACAGTAGGCAGTTGGATTCATTCAACATTTTAGGCCGTAGTCTGCAACCAAAGGCAACTTGTTATTCTAATTTATGTACGATAGAACATAATGTTTTTAGTTGATTGAGGATTAATGAACAAAGGGGGGAAGTACCCTGTAGACAAAAACTTTTAACTTCAAAGCAAAATTGGCAAAAAGTCCATCCATGCAGAGATATGGAGAAGAGAAGGAAAAATAAAATTGAATTTTCCAAATATGGTTTTCTGTGCCTCAAAGCCCACATATTCCTATTCTCCAAATTACCATCAACAAGCAGTACAAACCGTGTTCTGTGACCGTTGTCTTTCACGTCTGAGAGAACTTTTCATTTCCTGTATCTCAGGAGATGTATAAAATTTAGACACAGATGTTTTATTCAAATAAGTGTTAAGATCAATGAAAATTCTCAACAAGAAAAAGGACTAAGAATTTCTAAATGTAGATATATTTGAACTACTACTATAGCTCCTTATAATGGAAAAACATTTCTTTTATAATGCTTTTTCATTCTATATCTTTTCTCCATTTTTAAGTTCTTTCCATACATGCTACTATAGTGTCAAAATTTTCCAGATAGTATAATCTTCAAAGAGGGAATGACAAAATTTATACACTTCCTCTCCCCTGCCAACCTTGTATTTAGCTTTTTAAAGGTTTGACATATATACCAGCAGATTCTTTCAATTTGACCCCACTGAGCTACTTGTAGCTCTTGTTAACCAATGTCTTAAAATGGCAAGTGCTTTGCATCATAGACAATTCAAGCTACAAACCCCTACAAAAATATTTTTTTAGCAAATAAAGATGTTGTACAGCTCAAAATCAAAACCTGAACCAAATTTATCTACTTACCTGCAGGAATGGATACAAGATCGATCGCCTTAGCTGCTTGAAAGAAAGCAGTGTTTTTGAGG